TTGGTTTGTTTCGTTTGAACAAAATGCCTTTCTCTTTGGTTCCCACTAAATATTTGAATATTTTCTTGACTTTTGTGACGTCTTCTCTAGTGGGGTTTTCGACCTTCCTGCTAACTTGATTGACCGCTTGTGCGATATCCGGCCTGGTTCTGGTAGACAGATACAGTAAACTTCCCACTGCTTCCCTATAGGGATATTCCTTCTCCTGGGCAGTTTCCTGTGTAGACTTTGAATCGCTACTTGCGGGCGTGTCACAAGGTTTGGCATTTTTCATGTTGTATTTTTCCAGTACGTCATTTATGTAAGATCTCTGAGTAAGAATTATTCCTTCTTTTGAGTTTTTATTTCCATACCCAGATAAGTACTTGGATTTACATTCTTTTTCATTTCAAATTTGGTTTCAAGTTTTTTCAAAATAACTTCGATCTTTTTCTTGTCTTTTCCTATGACAAGTCCGTCATCAACGAATAGTCCGAATATTATTGACTTATCTTCGTTTATGAAAACGCATCGATCTGTTTTGATTGTCTTGAATCCCAAATCAAACATCGCTTGGGTAAAAGTTTTGTTCCATGTAAATGGAGCTTGTTTTAATCCGTACAACGATTTTTTTAATCGGCAAACTACGTCAGTAGTATTGCAGTCAGTCTCATAGCCAACAGGTAATTTCATATAAACTTCATCTGATAACTCTCCGTATAAGAAAGCTGTCTTGACGTCAAATGTCATGAAGTAGTAAGATTTAGATGCGGCAATTGCTAATAAAGTTTTTAATGCAGATTGACTTACTACTGGGCTATAAATGTCTTCAAAATCCAGGTTTCCTTTCTGCTCGCATCCACGTACAACTAATCTAGCCTTGTACGTACCGTCATCTTTAATCCGAAATACCCATTTGTTCGACAGTATTTTGTGTCCTTTGGCTTCTGACTTGTCGACAAATACCCAGGTGTTATTTTTCTGTAATGATTCCATTTCAGATTGTATCGCCTTCTCCCAATTTCGTCTGTCGGTGCCAGTCACAGCTTCTTTGTATGTGAGTAAAGAGCAGTCATAGTCGTCATTATTTAATGATGTTAACATGGTCACGCAGCGACTTAACTCATAATCTTTGGTCCATGCTGGTGGTCTCACGTCTCTTTGTGGTCTTCCACTTGAGAAAAATGGTTCATCAACAGGATCTTGACTAGAGCTGGAATAAAGGGGGTTAGATTCCTGAAAAGGTAAGTTCTCATTAATTTTGTTTCTTGTTTCTTGAATTTCTATTTGTTCTGTTTCAGGTTCTGGAGTATGATCTTCGCGTTTTTCAGCAGGAGTACCGCCATAATGCATCTTTTCCATTACTTTTACGTCTCTGCTGATAATAACATCATTCCTTTCGGGTATATAGATTCTAAAACCTTTTGTATATTCCGCATATCCCAAGAATACTCCTTCTGTGGCTTTAGCTGTGAATTTTCCTCTTCGTTTTTTGTTCATCACAAACGCTCTATTTCCGAATACGTGTAGGTGATTTCCTGATGGTGTTCGTTGTACCCATTTCTCATATGGGGAATTGCCTTTGAGAGCTCTTGCTGGGCTTCTATTTATTAAATAGTTTGCAGTGTTTACTGCTTCTGCCCAAAACTTTGCAGGGATATTGGCATCTAGCATCAGACATCTGGCTTTATCCATCAGCGACCGATTTTTCCTTTCACTCATGCCATTTTGCTGTGGGGTATAAGGTGCAGATAGTCTTCGGCTTATACCATTATCTTTAAGGAATTTGTCAAACGCTTTAGACCTAAATTCGCCTCCATTATCAGATTGTAGATTTTGAATTTTCTTCTTATGAAACAGTTCAACATAGTTTTTATATTCCTTGAATTTATCGATTACTTGGCTCTTTTCTTTTAAGAAATATACACAGCAGTATCTTGTATAATCGTCAATAAATGTTACGAAATACTTTGATCCGGCCATTGATTCATTCTCAAATGGGCCACACACGTCACTGTGAATTATCTGGAGCACTTCGGTTGAGATTATTTGTCCATGGCTTTTGAATGGTAGAGTGGAAAATTTTCCTTTGATACAAGTCTCACAGGTACCCAAAGTTTTTTCTTTAAAGTCGAGTCCTCGCATCATTTTATTTTTAACCATTTCTTTTAGGTCTCTTTCATTGACGTGACCTAATTTCTTGTGCCATTTCATAATTTCGCTTTCATCACTAGGCGTGAAATTTGCTGTCTCTTCCGGTTTATCAAATTCAAGATAGTATAATCCATTTCTTCTGTGAGCTTTTAATACAGTTTTCCCGCCTTTCGTGACACTGGCTTGTTCCTTTTCAAATAGAACCTTATAGCCATGATCCGTAATTTTGCTCGCAGAAATTAGATTATTCGACAAATCAGGTACATATAATGTGTCTGAAAGACTAATTTTATATCGTCTATCCTTTGTATATAGTTCGGCTTTTCCTTTCCCTTTAACTTCGGTCGTATGTTTTTCTGAGGCTAGCTTTAGAGTGTCAGTCGCGGGGATTAAGTTATGGAGTATACTTTTATCACCCGTCATATGTGACGTACACCCACTGTCAAGACACCATAAACTGCCTTTACATTTCGACGTTCCTGCTGTTAAACAGATGTTATAAGTCTTTTCTTGATCTTTAGTTTTATTGGGATTATTGGGTCTCTTCTTTGACCAACAAGCTTCTATGGAATGCCCTTTTTTATTGCAATTCTTGCAAAATTGTACCTTTTTTTCGTCTTTGTGTAGAATGCTTCTGAAGTCTGAGGTTCACTCGCTTCAGTTTGCCTTCTTGCGTCGTATTCTTCTACGATTTTTATTTTTAAATTTTCAGGACTTGGCAGAATATCTCTCGACTCAATTGCCGTTCCGAAGCTATCGAAATTTGTAGGTAAACTGTATAACATCATTATACTTAATAACTCTGGATGAATTTTGACATCCATGTCTTCTAATTTACCTACTACATCCATAAAATTACTGAGATGGTCTCTCACGTCTTCTTGTGGAGTCATTTTCTTCAGTACTAATTGTTTTAATAGCGTAGCCTTTCTTGCCGGCCCTGAACTTTGATATATAGACTTTAGTTTGTCCCATACCTCCTTAGATGTATTACACCCTTTAATTTGTTTTAGTTCTGGTGGAGATATTAGTAAAATTAGCTCTGACCTTGCCTTTAAGTCTTCCTTTAGGAATGCACTCTTTTCTTCGGCAGTGGCAGTTGCCGTTAACGTTTTTTTACCATTAGCGTATTCCCACAAATCGTCTCTTATGAGAATTGCCTGTGCTTGTAAGCACCAGGTATCGTAATTCGATTTTTTTAACGGTTCTATGCTTTTGATACTCGAGCTCATTTTAAAATTTGTATTTTCTCATTTACTTATTATTTTAAAAAATATGCTTCTTTCATTTTCCACTAGATATATATCCCGATATATTTATCCAACATATTTATCCAACCACGCTCTGCTACCACTGATAGGGTGGACTAGTGGCTAAAGCAATTAATTAAAATGCAAAATAAATTGTAAAACATTGTGTTTACTTGTAAGAGAAAATATATGAACTGAATTAAATGACACCGCACATGTAAAAATAAAATAAAGATATTCCAAATTTAAATGCAGTGCATCAAAGACAATTATATGTGGACAGCACCATGACCTTCCAACATGTACAACTGTATAAAGCGGACATTCTGGAATAGCCAACATAGAGTACCTCCTTCCACATGACCGTATTCAACGAAGAGCGGTTCGAATCGTCGACGACTAATCCAACTTAATGTTCCGCAGAGATGTGGGGTACTTTGCATCGGACCGTATCTCCCTCTTTTCTGGTTTCTTCAATCTATGTTTGCCATAGTCGTTTTGTATGATGATTTGATATTTCGAAGAGTACTGAGAGTTTTTTACGCCGGTTATTTCCAAACCAATTCGACTCAGGGTCCTTCAAGAGCATACGCATTCTTAAAAGGCAAGCAACGCACTAACACGCTCTGGCATTGAGAGAGTCCATATGCGGCGGTATGACTTAACGTCAAGTGAGACTTCTGCCCGTTTGCCCCGTTCTATAAAAATAAATGGATAAATATGTATAACGAAAGTGTTTGCAAATCCCATGTCCATGAAATGTTATATCATATTTTTTCTTGATTTGAATTAATTTAAAAAATTTCGGAACCCTACACTAATTGAAACATGAAGTAAATGTAATGTATGTACATTTGACAAGTAATAGTTAAATTAGGTTTAACTTTAAAATTAACAAATGAGGAAACGGTGTTTACAATTTTACGGTGACATATTATACACACAAGTTGTTGGAACATCATACCCCTAGGTACGCTACTACCACGTCCCACTTCTTTAATTATAAAACTTGAATTAATACGGCGCATAAGGGCATCTGCGCCTGATCGGCACCTACGCATGGACAGATTAATCGATCATTGAACCCTTACAATTTGTCAAGGAAATGGCATTAGCTACGATTCAGATTGTATAATATGGCGCTTTGCAAATCCTGAAATTGTAACTATGGCTACATTTGATTAATATAATCATAAAATATACATTGTTCACATACAAACCAATAACATTTTTATTCATCATTCATAAATAATAATTATTAAGTAAATATTTGATTTGATCTTCCAAGTGGTGTCCTTGGACACATGTATAAATTAGTTTTATATTTTAATGATATGCCATGTAATAATAGGTACATATTAATAAATATATAATCTCAACATTATTTTATTCCCATGGCGAAACCACCAATTTGCAATAACAATGGCTAACTACTGCATTATCTTGCAAAATAAATTTGTGCATCAATACAATTATATATAAATAAGGGTTATTTATTCATGCAATTTTCATGACAGATTAAGATTTCAACATTAGTTTCACATCTTTCCATTAGGCGCTGTCCTAAAAAGAAGCACTGGCACGTTTATCTAAAGGCAAATTTGGACTTAAGTAAATTTAATCAAAATAATCATCAATGTCTATATCAGGATTAAGAATATCATCACCATACGGGGTTAAATCAATTTGATCTAGTATTAAATTTTCACACATTTCTTCAAGGTCTGTTTCACCAATTAAAATAGCACCTTGGAGTTTACCATTCTGTAAAACAAATTTTATATACTCGTGACCACGAGTTACTCGGAGAAGGATCTCATATTTTTTATCAAGTCCCTGTCCATTATATTTACCAAGTAACACTACTCTATGTCCAAAAAGAGTAGTGCAATGTGTAAATAACTCAAAACAAAAATCTTGCAAAACATCTTCTTTATTAATTTTGGCATGCATTGCTTTTGCGGCCATTGCCCCCATTTGCCTAGCTTGTGTCCACAGTCGGAGTTGAAACCAATGAGCAGAATGTTCCCATGATGCACTTGCCACATCTCCAGCTGCAAACACATGGGGAATTGATGTCTGTTGTAGTTCATTAACTGCTATGCCTCCATCTTTACCAAAAACTGGCTCCTTGTCCCAAGTAAAGTTGACAGCTGGCTCAACCCCAGTTGCTGAAATAACAAAATCACATTCTATTGCTTTCCCATTTGAAAGTTTGACATAAAGAGGGTATGATGTGTTCTCTTTTTCTATAACTGATTCAACTTCTGTTTTGTAAATTATTTCCAATTCCTGTTTCCCCTCACTACTTATAACATTTTCCAACTTTCTATACCAATCAGGTCCCAAAGCAGCAGATTTAAGATTTTTATTTACTGATACCAATGTATCCTCTTCACTGAAAATATGTCTTCTTAAGACAGTATTTTCCTGTTTTTCTTTACAGTTCTTCACAGAATCTTGTAAGAATTCAGCTGCACCTGGATCTACAAATGTTGCTGAAATATAATCATCTCTTACAACCCAAATTTTTTCTATTCCTCTAGTAGCATGAATGATTTCAGATGCAATTCCACCATTTCCAACTACTACCATCCTACGTCCATTTCTTAACTTTTCCTGAAAATTTTCAACGGATTCAGTATCTCTTATGCCAAATATTCTACTGAACTTTTTAGAATCTGATATTAGTTTAGGAACACCGCCAGTACATATGCATATGACTTCAAAAGTTATTTCTATACCTCCATCAGTATATGCAATTTTATGTGTGTTATCTAAATGTCTTAGAGAATCATACACAATATGAAGATTAGGATGAATTTTTTTCAACGAGCTTGCTTCAGTTTCAGACACATCAAATTTCACTATTGTTTTTGCATAAAAAGTAATATTGCTAACATTTTTGACTAAAGAAGATGCAGTTATAATTATAAGAGTAGCGCCAGGATGTAGTATTGCTAAAGTTTCTACACAAGTTACTCCAGCTATTCCACCTCCAACAATTAAATACTTTGAATTTAATTTAGACATTGTAGGAAGCAGTGTATGGCACCTTCTTTTTAGTTTCCTTAATCTTACAAGTCCTTAATATTACATAAATAATGTAATTATTATTATTGTTAAATGTTTACATATTACTCAGTACATGCTTCACATGTGGGAGGTGAGAGTTGAGACTACTGAGTAGTGAGTACTGACTACTGAATGATGAGTGATGACACTGACACGGGACACCACAGACTCACACAGAATATTATAAATACTTTTTTTTTTAAAAAAAGCGCGGGAAGTGTTGAATTAGGCGGGCGCCTTTTTTGGCTAAACTTTTGAAAATTAAATTAATTTAATATTACAGGATCAGTTAAGTTGTAGAGGGTAACGATGCGAAACAGACGTACCCAAATTTAGGGTTGCGGGGGGAGGGGGAGGGGTAATCACCCCCCACAAATTTTGCGCTTAGGAAACCAGAAAAAAATTTTTTTTTTTTTACAGTACCTAATCTGAAAATGATCGCAAGAAATCAGTGTCTAATATGTATGTAAAGCCAAGTTTTAAAAAATGATAATAAAATAACGCACATTCACGCAAAAATAAAAAAACCTAAAAAGTAACGGCTTTTTAACTTATAATTTGCACTTGATCACTGTGAACACACAATGTACTGGCAAAATCCACATTCGAAATGGCCGATTGCGTTTATACTTTATAAAATGAATAGGGATGTGAAAAATAATCTATTCTGTGAAAGTGAAAATCGATTTTAGTATTCGATTTCGAGTTTCAGTTAAACAGTTATTTAAAAAAAATATTAATATACGGTTAGTATATTAATATAACCTTATATTTATATAACTTAACCGATCTAAATAATATTTGTTTTTTTGGACAGCTCCGATCTAAATAGTAATTGTTTATTCAAGCCTCGGCTTCTCGGCGTCCTGGTCGCCTTCGGCGACCAAATATTCATATACTAACCTAACCTAACCAATCTAAATAATATTTGTTTTTGTGGACAGCTCCGATCTAAATAGTAATTGTTTATTCTAGCCTCGGCTTCTCAGCGTCCTGGTCGCCTTCGGCGACCAAATATTCATATACTAACCTAACCTAACCAATCTAAATAATATTTGTTTTTGTGGACAGCTCCGATCTAAATAGTAATTGTTTATTCAAGCCTCGGCTTCTCGGCGACCAAATATTCATATACTTACCTAACCTAACCAATCTAAATAATATTTGTTTTTGTGGACAGCTCTGGCGCTACGGGGAATGCAGCCCCTCCACCCTTGCGTACCAAAGCACAGGCATTTTATCACATGTCACATCACTTATAACCAATAGAAAACGACAATGACACATCACTTATAACCAATAGAAATCGAGAATGTCACATCTCTTATAACCAATAGAAAAGTAGTTAGATAATGGCGGATTGTTTATAAATTTCAATACAATTCACAAAAGTTAAAAAATTTTTTTTAAATACTTTGACGCTTATCCTAAAGCTAAAATCACTTGGAGGTGTTCCAATCAAGGGTCCCCGAGACTCCTGCATAATCAGTATCATCAAATTCAGGTGCGTTTGACTCACACCCAACCCCTCCAATAATATCCCAAGTAACCCTCGCGCTGCTAGGTCGCTTTACCAGGCGTCAGACCCAGCGCCTTATGTTGTCCATGTCCAAAAAATATTACAAGCAAATCAAACCGGATCAATTCACCCTGTACATTTTGGATTTTTCCTAAAAAAAAATTTTGTAAAAAGCATTGTAGAGGGAAGCATAAAAAAAATTTGCAGGAACATGTTGTCCTTACAATTCGAAACTTTTCAAGATGCTAACACATTTTTAAACAACAAATCTCTTCATGTTAATAATTACAAATCATTTATTCCTGCCTTCACTATCACCCGCATGGGAATAGTGAGAGGTGTTCCATGTGAATGGGACGATAAAGACATTTTAGAAAATATTGAGCTTCCGCAGAACTGTGGAAGCATTTTAAAGGTTCGAAGACTAAACAGAAAGGTGTATGAAAGCGAGACTCCCAAGTTTATTCCGACAGAGACCGTAGTTTTAACCTTTGATGGGAAAGTACTACCTCCCAGGGTCTTTATGTGTTTTAACTCCTTACCTGTAGAACTTTATATTTACCCCACATTGCAATGTTTTAATTGCTGCCGTTTTGGTCACACCAAAATGCAATGCAGAGGCACTCCAAGGTGTTACAAATGTGGTGACAACCATACAAGTACAAGCTGCAAGACTGAAAGAGATGATGCTGTGTGTATCTTATGTTCTGGTTTCCATTTTGCAACAGATAAAAAGTGTCCAGAGTACGCTAGGCAAAAAGCAATCAAAGAAACAATGGCTAGAAAGGCTATATCTTATTCAGAAGCCAGTAAAGTTAATCCACCAGTTTCTAAATCTTATGCAGACGTTGTTGCTTCTGCTTCATCGGCCCCTTCTGGTCCGAATATTAAGTATTCAAGCCCCTATAATTTAACAAGTTCTTCTAACACTCCCACTCAGTCATTTAGGAAAACAATTTTCATGAAACCCAAAGCTCGTCCCAGAAATGTTCAAATTCAAATATCATTGATTCACGTAGGTAACACAATGTACACTTGTGATTCGTCATTAAAGAAATAAATATTCATGCTTCTAATTTTACATTTACTGCCAGTTCTCAAATCAAGGGCGTAGAACGGAAGAGAAGAACTGGCAATAAACTCTCCGCCACTCTTTTTAATCGCCATGTTTTTTTTTTTTTTTTACACAACGTTTGTAAGGAGCTGCAACCATTACACCATGTTCCACATGACATTTTTAGTAATTAATAATAATAACATAAATAAAAACAAAGACTTGTCCCCTATCAGCAGGAGGCATGGTGAAATAGGAGCACGCACTTACATTCTCGTGGGAACAACACGCAAACACATAGTCGAAATAATTAACATCACCGCATACACGAATTCAAGTACGACCAGTCACTGCCAGTTAGTTGGTAAGGGATATGATCAAAAAGCACATTCAGAGCTTATTCAAGATTATAGCAATATTCCTTCCTTTTCTACAGGTTGTCTCAAAAACTACAATCATTTGTCAGAAGTAATAACCAAAGATCTCATCATTTCTATAATTCAGTATCTGTCACAATCTGATATAATTAAAATACCGACCAACGATGCCCCTTCTTCAAAAACTTATTTAAATCATGGACAGTCACACAGACCATCCACAAAACCAGTCTCTGGTGATTCAGTGGAATTGCCGGAGCATTAATAGTAAAAAAAGTGACCTAATTTATTTATTAAACAATTACAAACCATTTGCCGTCTCTCTTCAAGAGACTTGGCTTCGTCCCGGATTCAATTTTAGAATCCCAGGACATATCTGTCTTAGAGAAGACAGAACAGATGGGTATGGTGGAGTTGCACTAATTCTTAGAGGAGGTGTACCCTTTGTTCACATACCCATCATTAATCACAGTGATAAATTTTCTATTATTGCTGTTAGTGTAAATAATATTTGTATTGTAAATATGTATATACCTCACCCTTCCACTGAAGTCTTTGACGATATTTGTAACATTCTATCTTCCCTCCCGCGTCCTATTTTGGTCATGGGAGATTTCAATGCACAACATACTATGTGGGGAAGTTCTAAGTCCGATCATTATGGGGATAGAATCTTAGACATCTTAGATATTAATAATTTATGCCTTGACACAGCCCCATGAGGGTATGAGTGCACCAGACCTTACCCTATGTAGTCCTTCCCTTGCTCCTACATTAAACTGGTGGCCTCTATCGTCTTCATATGGAAGCGTTCACTTCCCACTAATTGTATCATTTCCCCAAAAATTTGAAGAACAAACATCAATGGCTCCTCCCCGGCTAAAATATAGACTTAAGGATGCCAACTGGTCATTATTTAGAGATAAAGCTCAACAAAATTTATCATCCATACCTCTAGTAAATGACAGCAATAATCATCTTTGTGCTGAAGCTTTTACACGGGCCCTACTTCAGGCTGCTGAGGAAGTTTTTCCAATAAAAAGTAATAGTGGCAATGGTTATATTCCATCACCTCCTTGGTGGGACAGTGAGTGTTCTGCTGCTATAGCTGAGAGAAAGAGAGCTGAAGGAAATTACAGGAAAAATTCTACAACACAAAATTTTAATATTCTTAGTAATCTTATAACTAAAACACGTAAATTATTAAAACAAAAAAGATTCAATGGCTGGAAATCTTTTTGTGCCTCAATTTCACCAGACATTTCTCCATCTGAAGTTTGGCAAAATATTCGGAGATTCAGATCCGCCTTTAAACCTCCAAAGTCTCATTTTATGGATAGCAGTACAGTTGATTTGTTTCTTGACAAATTAGCTCCACCATATGTCCCATCTATAGATAATATTTCTTCTGACTCTCAGCCTTCTCTCCTCTCCCAGCATAATAGTAGCAATTCACTCATTTCCTTTAGCCTTTCAGAACTCAAAGGGGTTCTTTCAAAACTTAGGGACTCAGCCCCAGGTTGTGATGGAATTCCATATTCTTTTCTTCAAAACCTAAATGACTCCTGCCTTTCTTATTTTCTCAGTTTAATTAATTCAATCTTAATATCAGGTAATATACCTCCGTCATGGAAAATTCACGAAGTTATCCCAATACATAAGCCCAACAAACCGATTAATGATCCATCATCATACAGACCAATAGCATTAGCTTCAGTTATCTCCAAAATCTCTGAACATTTAGTTAAGAATAGACTAGAATGGTTTGTTGAGAGTAAAGGGTTACTATCTCCAAACCAGTTTGGATTTAGGAAAGGCAGGTGTACTATGGATAGTCTCAGTATTTTTATGACAGACTTAAGATTAGCATTTTCATACAATAAGCCAGTGTTAGCTGCATTCTTAGATGTGTCTGCAGCCTATGATAATGTCAACCTTTCAACTCTGAAACAAAAAATGATTAATTTGGATATCCCACAACTTTTTATAAGCTTCACTATCAATCTTC